CACTATTATTAGGATACCAACCAGGACATCAATGAATTTATAGAGAAAATGAACATTTGACACATGTTTATGCAAAGAGAGCTTTATTAACAACACACAAACAACAACTACATACAAAGTGAGGATCTGCCCACACTTGGGTAACGGCGGTTTAAAAACTACAGCTCAGTAAACTGTCCGTTTGCCTCCTCGGGGTCGTTGACCGTCACTGGCGCCGTGTTTTCCGAGGCAGGTCTGTTGTGCAGGCGGCTCGTGTGCGTGTGGCGACCGTACGATCCACCCGAGACGCCGCCAACAACGCCGTCCCCTCCGCCCGACGCGAGCTCCACGGTGGCGGATTTCCACCTCGTCATCAGCCAGCTCACTTTGTCTCGATTCCAGCAGCTGTAAAAACAACAATGAATCAGTACTGTGCGATGCGTACGGACACAACACATCGATCAATGCACCTGAAACAAGTCAGCAAATAAACTCTGACCCGCTTTCTTCTCGCTCGACTCCGCGCTGAATCCTTCGCAGCTTCCTTCGCAATGAGTGTTTTCCGCCTGAACCTGAAGCTCCTGCGTCCCGTCTCACAATACGTCTCACAGGCGGCTGGAAAACAATTAAATGTGTAGTATGAATACAAAAAAAACCAAACGCAAGTCGCAGTAACATTTAACAAGGAAGGAGAAACAGTGTCACTTACACACAAAGAAAACGCACTTTAATAAAGCGGGTCCTGCTCACTTGTAAGGCTACTAGGCTACTCTTAGCTTAGCTTGAGGCTACGCTACTCTTAGCTTAGCCTGCAGTCATCGAGCGTATTCTTACCGCTATCGTGGGATCGTGCGCCCGTCTCCTCTCCTTTGAGTCGGTTCCTCTCCTCCATGGACACAAACCCGCAGAGTCCCGAACGCTCCAGTGGAGCGAACCGCTCGTTGATATCGGCGGTTTGTTGTTGGAGTTGACGAGACGATCCACTGAGAGCTTTCAGCTGCTTCTTCTGTCTGTCTGCGGACCGGCCGAAAGTTGGTGACCGCGGAGAGGAGTTGAAGGCGAGTTGAACGCGAGACGTCGTCCCGCCATTATTCACGAAGCAGCAAAAACCAAACAAAGGAACTGGAGATACAGTTCTTCTGAATGTAGTAACACGCTCGTCTCGCAAGTACTGCTGTCTGAGTCGTGCCTATGACCTCACACGTGATTGGACGAGGAGTCTAAGGGTCCTCCAATCACATACGAGGTTATTGTTATACGGAAGGACCAGTATTTTAGGAAGACAAATGGTTGCGACTTTGAAACAGCTGATATGCTTCATGTAAAGCAGTGTTTTGGTGTCAGCAGAACGACTTTCCCTAGAAACTGTACAGTGGTGCCTCTTCTCCATTCCACCAGACACTCCTGAGTCTGACAGACATGCAATGTTGACAATGTATCATCACATGTACCCTTGTGTCACTGAGGTGGAATGTTTTGCCGTGACTTGTAAACGGGTAACATATATGAATGTAACTTACTCAGTCGACAGATGCAGAGCATAAAGGTCAGCATGTGTTCATGCTAAGTGGTGTGGAAACACAACAGTTTTGAGGAACCCGTCCTTCTAGCAGAACTACGACCAGCCATTATAAAGCAGTTTATAGTTGTTAATGTTGTGTCAAAGGGTACGGCATTTAAACATGTTCTTGCACAAGTTTCCTGGCTTCATCTCCACCCGGACAGACATTTTTATGGAAAGCCAATAGAAGTTTGGGGCTTGCAGGGAACAGACACGTCATACAGCATCATTTCTGCCAGTTGAGCGCATTGCTAGAAGATGTGTGGTTAATACATCCTCTGTGCATTTAAGTAAGACCAAAGCAAAGGTCACTGTAGTCCTGCCACTATGCACTGTAGTTGAGCTCTAGCAGACTGAGATCTCTGCAGACCCCTCATGCTGATTCAAATGTTGTTTGCATGGAATGCTCATTTTACCTTGATTAAAACTCCTTTTTTAAAGAAGTGTTTTTGTGTATCTTTTTTACATAACATTTGCCTTTGCTAATGGCGTACACAGTAATCTAGCATATTTTAATTAAATAAATCAATTCAAGCTCAAATGTAAGAGTCTATAATCCGGCTACTGAGCCTGATCTATTTGTACCCGACATTTTCTTACCTTTAAAAAAAATGTCACCTGGGCTAAAACTGCCTCTGCGACCCTGATTTGCATTTGTATAGCTCACAGCATTTTCATTTACATGTCAAAGCCTCCCCTAGAATTAGGAGGAGGGGGGTCATGGGGGCACAAGGGAGGCCCACGTCAATTTATGACAATTTAACAGCCGCAAACCTGAAATTCCACGACAATTTACAGTGCGGCATACTGCCGAAAATCCCACTTTTCATGCAGTGGCAAGATCAAAGAGTGATGACACTATGTCGGATGTCATCAAATTGTTTCTATGGTTACATTCCTGCAAAATAAATGCTTTATTTTCTCCACTGTATCACACACAAAAAACTATACTTGAATATCAGGAATCAACAAAAATATCCCAGACCGCTATGCTATGAACACAATTTACTTATCTTTTTTTTTAAACGCGTGCATTAATATTTTTTGAAAAATATTGATGAAAAGCAACAATGTCGATGCACGGGGCAATAAAGTCTATGATAAATAAATAAACAAACCAACAACTTCCACACACAAAGACGCGACTCTCTAGGTCGTCTTCAACAAAACACGTTACTCCACCTGTTGTTCTGGCGGTGAATTGCTCTGCAACACACGCAAGACTTTTAGAACCATGAATTGAAAGGAGTGCGTCGACGCAGAAGCCTGCACCAGCCTTAAGTTATGCATCTTTAAATTTGGGCGCTTTTGTACCGATGACAAAAGAAGCTCAACCCTTTGGCCTTGCCGAGTGCAGCGGTAAATGTGCTTACAGAAGACGCTGCGTGAGGCGCTATGAATATTTCAGTGTGTGTGGGCAGGTTACCTGTATGGGAGTGCGGCTACATAAAGTGAGAGCGCATCAGCGTCTGAGCGCGCGGAAACGCAAACACACACACACACACACACACACACACACACACACACACACACACACACACACACACACACACACACACAAGTTGTACTTCTTCAGGCCGCTAATTTCATAAGATACGGTCGATGGTGCTGAAAGGAGAGCTGCAACTTGTGCGGCCATTTTCAATCCAGGTTCCTTCATATATCAGGATAAAGGCAATGCAGACTCCCGTCACAGCCGCTGTGACGGGCTTGCGCTGGGCGTAGTGGTGGGGCGGTCTCACCTGTGAGCTCTCCAAAGCTGCTGCTTCTGCCTGGAGCTGTCTGCTTAGTCTCTCCACCTCTGCCCGTCCGGTGCTGACGGCGTGCTCTTTGCGGCCGCGCGCCTGCTCCATCTCACGGACCTCCTGACCACATTACAGACCACAAGCATCGGCTCAATGACGCGGTGGTGGTTTACATTAGATTCATCCAATACGTGCGTCTTCCTTACAGCTTCTCTGGTTTCCTGACCAAAGGCTATTGTGTAATGTTTCATCTACTTTTGTAACTGAAAACACATTAAGAAATGTGTCAAATATGTCAAGTTGTACTTGATAAATGGGCTGGCTAGTTACTTCCTGTTAGAAACAAGACTGCACACTGCTACAGGTGTCCTGGATCAACTGGAGTAGCTGCAGTAAATAAAGACAGATAGTTATTGAGGCTCTTTAGCTGATGAGCCTGAGCTCAACAAGGCTGCACTGCAAAGTGTGATTAGACGTATCGCTGACATGTCTGCAGACATCGAGAGCGTGGTTTCAGTTATCGGTGTACTTTCATGACATTATGTAATCCCCTTTGAGTGTAAATAGAAAAAAGTATCTCCATATTGATAAGCTACTATCGGTGAAGTCCTTTGACTACCGCCTGCTTTCAGCGTATCCAACAGCAGAGCTCACCTGCTGCAGGTGGTCATGGATGTGCTGGTAGGTCTTTTGGAGTTCCTTCGCCCCGGTGACCTTCATTCTCATCTTGTCAATGTTGTTCTCCAGCTGCCGTTTGCGCTGATATTAAGTAAATGAAGGGAAAAGGCCGTAGTGTGTTATCAACAATATGACGGGACAACTTGAAATGTAAGGCCGGGCAAGGCAAGTGTATTTGTAGAGAACATTTCAGGCCATTCTAAGCGTTTCACATTAAACGGTTAAAACCATAGAAATGAATAGAAAGGGGAAATTTAAAAACAATTAAGAAAATGGATTGAAACATTAAAACAAGTTAAACAAAAAGCTTAAAATAGCTTTATGTAACTAAATATATCTAGCGTGAGCTGGACGTCCAGCTTGGTGAGACGTGCGTTGCATATTTAGTTGATAGTACATTTTTACAAAAATAGTCAAGCAAATTGGAACATGTCGGTGGGGGCGAACACCAAATGATTGAATGTGTAGTTAAAACTTGTCTCCGCAGGGGAAGTACCATCCGGTACAGAGCGGGGCGACGATGCAGCAGCACATCTGGAGTGGATGCTCCAGATACAAAAATGGACACTGCATTTAGAGGAAGTATTCAAATCAATATGTGTTTGCTGGGGGGGGCAATGAATGCAATAAAAAGGTAACAAAACAAATAAACCACTCCAAGAAATTTGATAATCAAACGCAACATACATATTTAAAGTGTCATACATTTGGCTCTATATATTTGTGGATGGTAATGAGGTAGGAAACGCTTATTAAAAAAGGCAGAGCTCGGCTGTGTGGGGATCGAGATTTATATTGCACTCAGACCAGTTGATTTATAACAGAGGTAAACAAACCTTACCTTTCACAACGTACCTTTAATGTTCCAGCAATTTACTTGTAAATGTTTAAGGTTGATTTATTACTAATGTTAAACACAGACTACAAAAAGCAGTTGTAGTTCCTTAATGTGCAACTCTGTGACAAAACAGTTTTTATTTTATTTGCATCATGAGGAATATTATCAGAAGCACCAAGGAAACTCAGACGATACAGTGGTATTTTTACGATAAAAAACTTTACTGACTTAATCACGTTTTACTCTCAACTCGATACAGAACATGGGCTGTAATACAGACTGATACACAGATAAGTAAATGTCTAAACTTCGCTCATAGCTCATTGGCTATTGCTGTGTTATTACAAATTATGAAAATCTGTTGACTAATGTTTCCATTTTAAAAAGAAATAAAAATTACATAATATATACCAGTTAAGCTACCTCACACATTAACATCTTACCAAGTGGTTTGTGATTTTAATTCCTAAAACAGCAATGGCAAGGATTATTATTGTGGCTTCCTCGCACAGCAGGAAGCGGCCGATATTTCAGAAGAATCAGAATCACCCGAAAAACGAAGCAATTAATTTTAAAAATGCTGTTACAAGCACATTTTTTTAGGTTTATTTTAAATACTGGTCATCCAAGCTTGGATTTAGAGACCAAAGTCTGAACAAAGAATTAAGACATTGGATAAGTGGAACCAGATGGGTCTGGAACCGCAGGCATATTATTAACCGAATATCTTGAAATCAAAAAACTATTTTAAAAAAATGGAGGAAAATATTGAAAACTCAATGAATAAGGTTAAAAAGTCTTACGGTCCGACACCAGTTTGTCTTTCAAAGTTGAACGAACTGGGAAGGGCAGGTGCCACAAAGTAGTTCACGTCATCTATAGTCATGGGGAAACAGACCTCCGGGGGGCTTTGAGGAATCATGTCATCCATCTTATTCACATCACAGGACAAAGTCAATAGTGATGATGGGCGGCTGTCAAAGAAGGACCGTTTCTTTTTGGGGCGGAATAATAAACAGGTGACACGGGGAGCAGCATCGTGCCAACATACAGGAGGTCGGATTCAATTGGCTTCACTTGTAACCCAAACCCTGTCGACTGAGGAGGCAAAAGAGGGGGACGGTGATGGACAGACAGATAAACTGAAAAGAAAGAAAACAGGTATAAAAAACATAGTTAAACATGAAAACGCTGCTTGTCAGAGCCACAGAACATGTGAAGAAATACAAATTCAAATGTGACATCTCAGAGCTCTTATCAGTGTTAGAATGGAAACAAAAGGAGAAAGCACTGTGTCATGTCACAGGGTAATCTCAGCTGCAGCTATACAGAGAACATTTGCGTATTCATTTTGGTTTTACGCGCCACAACTTCACTGTGCCGCCGCTCTAATCCACGTCCTATTGATGTGACCCGTGTGTGCACGTAGACACCAGCTGGCGCACGTAGTGGAGCACAGAGCAGCTAAACGGATATTTCCCTCAGGTAACAACTTGTCGTCAGGAATTAGTACTATTTCTTCTTAAATCAACTGTAAAATACACTAAAATTAAGTATCTATCATCCAATTTGTTTCTCGTCTCTTTCATATTTTTTGGTGTGGACCTCTGGACCTTTTCCTGCAGATCACCACCTCTCTACTGAATTGACCTCTTTGTCCCCTAAAGGTCACATGACTGGGAGGGGAGCCGTCTGTCAGTGTGTGTCTGACAGTGAACTTATCATTTTAGTTTTGGCTCCAATTATTACTACTGGGTCGAAAAGGACCGGAACAACACAATGGTCATAATTTCAACCAGAGCATTTTATAATTTAGTGAAAAAAATGTTTTTGTTTTATTTTGTTGGAAAACAGATCCCTGACAAAGTCAAAAGGCCTTGATGCATGAAAAAAATAATTGATCAGGTTCTTTTATGCATTTAAAACCCCAAACGGGTCGGTGCCGACCCTAACAAGGCTCACAATTTAGCTATATATCCCTTTTCTTTATATTTGTATGTAGTAGGGACCCACGCAACATGTTTCATACTTGATGTGAAACAGAACTATAGGTTTTAGTTAGCTGAGCTGTTGAATTCTCCCTTCTCAGACTGAGGGAAATAAGATGGATCGTACCTGCAGGATGAACATGGCGGCGACGCCGGCGCCTGTGCTGCGATAGTTTCCTGAAAACCAGTCCCTCAGTTTCACCAGACAACCCTGAAAGACAAAGCGTCTGCGGTGATCCTTCACAGCAGGAAATGAAACACGCAGAGTAGGAAAGCGTCCGGGACAGAAGGAACGGGACGGAGCTGGCGTTGTTAAATCACAGACACTGCACACTACGGAGAAGCACGGAAACGGGTGTTTGGTGCAGCGATGGTCGTGGAGGTGACCTCTTCCCAGTAGGTGCGCGTGAAGAGGTCACAGGGGTCCTTCCTACAACAGGAGATGGGCACGTCCCCTTTCCAGTCTGCCACACCGTGGACTCCACAGCACCTGAACTGTACCAGAAAAACACCCAACAGCCTTTCAGAATAAGCCCCTCTCTGCCACTCCAAAGGATTTCAACTGAAGCAGTGAACATTTGGTTGAGGTGCAGACTTTCAGCGTTAAATCCACCAATATAACAGAAACGCCACAGTTTAGGACCCAGTTTACCAGGTGCTGGACGGCATCGAAGTCTTCTTTGAGGGTGGTGTTGATCTCTGAGCCCGACTCTCTGTAGATCTCCAGGCTCCGCGTCAGGTCTTCTTCAAAGTACGTGTGGATCTGCAGGGGCAGACGAGGCGTTATCCGCAGTGCGCCGCTGCCCGATGGACATGAAAAGACATTGCCGCAGTACGTGCTGGACGAGAGGACAGCGGTAAGGTGTCCCACGACCAGCCCAAAGCAGTTTGAGGGGGAAAATATTCGCCAACAGTGTAACACAAGTCCCTGGGAAAGTGTCGAAAGGCTCTTACCTCTCTGCTGTAGACCAGGAAGACACAGGCCATGGCCAACTCCACCAGCATCAGGATGAACAACAGGACGAAGAACTGCAGTCGGGGAGAATCACGTTCAAGCGCGAGTGACTTTGGAGTGAGAGTTGCAACCGGTTATCAGTATCAGGTCAGTATCGGTCAGGCGAGTCTGTGTCGCCTCGTGATGTCATTCATCAGCTCTTTTAGGCCGTAACGTGCTGAGGCGTCTCTGTAGGAGTCTCTGGTTTTATTGGAGCCAGAAGTGACCCCCCCCCCCCCCCCCAAAAACAACACTGAAAGGGTCACAGGCCAAACGCTGCGTCCATCACAGTAAGCCCGCCCTAAAGCTTTATGGTCTATTTGACTATAAACAGACCATTGTTTACTAAATGAACGTCATGCTGTAATCAAGAAGCTGTTTACAATGTAAGTAAAATTTGAAGTGGGGTCATTTTCCCATCACACCTCTTTCTACAACCACGGCAGCTTTTAGGACACTTGCTCGTTGGGCAGGAGGTTGCGTCCCAACAGCAAATTTATAATTCACATGGCAACAGTGAAACGGGTCTCGTAGTTTACAGGCTACATTCCTTTCTAGAGTCCCACGTGTCATTTGATCAGAGCTTATCGGTATCGGCGCAGGCGGGAAAAAAACAAAACCCGATCACCGGGTCGTCGGCGAGTACGACGTGCACGTGGGTTAATGTTAACAGACGGACCGAACCGACGCGAACACTCACGTTGACGAGCATGCAGCGGTTCTCCTTCATGGCCCCCATCACTCCCAGGTAACACACGCAGCAAATGATGGTGCCGGTGGCCACCACGGTGTTGGCGGGAAAGATGGGCCAGAAGGTGGTGATGAGGGAGGAGAACTTGGAGTTGATCATCTGGAACTCGCCCAAGGCCACCGTGAAGGCGGCGCACAGCTGCAACGTGCACAGAGCGGAGAACTGGTTATTATATGCAGATGTGAAGCAGGCACGTGCACAGGTAGACCCCCGGTGGGGCTCAAGCACCTGCCCCTTTGCCCTGGGTGAGAAAAGTGCCCCATGTTTCCCTCATTCATCCATATTTCAGAATAAAAAAATACTCTCTCTGGCATCAATTCCCCCCCAAATGTGTTTTGATATCTGACGGGGCGTTTATTTCTTGTGAGAGGCAGGCAGGCAGAGAATAGACAAGTTCACTAGTTTAGTTTGATTTAATTCAACTATTGAAAGTATTAAGTTGAGCTACATGACAGTCTGGTGACGTATATTGTTCTATATTATTAGTGTAATGCTGCTTATGCTTCAACTGTCAGAAAACAGTCAAATAAATGTGTGTGTGTGTGTTGTCTTGATAGAGATTAGGTAAGTCACTCTTACTTATTTATCTCAATTACACAATTTGCAGCATAATGCCAAGAAATGCGAGTCTCTAAAGCGGAAGGACAGGGGAAATCCTACTGTGTTCTTCATTCATTTATTTTATTATTAGTATTTTTAATTTCATGAATCATTTTGCCCGTTTGTTTTGGTTCGAGCACCTGCCCCCCCACAAAATGTCAGTGCACGTGCCTGATGTGAGGGGAGGTTGGGACAGCGCGGCAGTGAGACGTTCACATCCGCTTCTTCTCATTCAAGCATCACTGCATCAAAGTCACACAAGGATCCAATAGACTAAAACCCATAATAATAGAAGATACATTTCATTCAATGTCCCTGTTACATTAAAGAAGGCTGTTGTTTCGTTGTGAAGTCTGCATGTCCTACGCGTCGGTACTTACCCAGCACAGGAAGTTGAGACTTATCACCAGAGTTTTCAGGTGCTTCACACAGGAGCGCTTCATCCTTCCTGACCGTCCCCCTCAGAGAAGAAAACCCTAACAAGACGATCCGCAACGGCGCACAAGTCGGGGTGCGTTACGGCTCCACGTTACAGCTGCATGCCGGAGGACGTGCTTGGAGGGAACGCTGTCCTGCTGCAGTCGACGGGTGTTTACAGAACACCAGTGTTTGATGTGGCAACACCGGGCCGTCATCGGGTGACCTGTTCACGCTCCACTTCATCATTCTTATCGCCCCGCTCTTATCTCCGTGGTTAACCATTTGTTGCAGGTTCGCACTGTACACGTGAGACCGGGTTTCGTTAAAAGACGGTTGGGGATGTGCGGACGCATCGTGTAGCTGCTCATCCATCACAGTGAAAGTGTCTCTTACCCTGAAGTGTACACTTGATCCAGATCGCACCACAGAAGACACGCTGACAGAGAAAGGAGTCCGGGAGAAAAAGACAGATAATTTGAAATAAATGTAGTTATTGGGAAAATGTTCAACATTTAACTAAAGAACTTGTAGCTTTTGCTTTGACCAACAATTAGATTAAACATCTAATAATAATTATGATGCCTTCATAAAAAACAGGCTTGGAAAGAGACAAAGAATGCACATTAAATACAACTGAAACCAAATTAGAATATTCTGAGGAAAAGAAAAGAAACCGACAAGCTCTTGATCAGAACATAAGCTCTTTACTCACATTTTTTTCAGGAAAGTGGTTTTGATCAGAATTGTTAAATTGGCTCTACATTAAATAATGAACTACATGACAGATGGGAGGATCATGGACTCCATCAAAGCGCTCGACACAGTAGAGAGAAGAAAGCGGTTTGACTTGGTACAGAAAACCTCCCCAGTAGTTTACACTCACACGGATATTCCACCTGTGTGCACGGCCTTTATGGAGGTCAGTGGAGCGCCGTTTGGGCGACGCCCACCTAGCCGATGACCCGAGTCCGTCTAACAATGGATGCATCCGGCGCTGCCTGCTGGTGCCGGTTGCATCAGTGTTGCGTTGACGTGACGTCCCGTTCTTCTGCACGGCTACATGCTGCTGATGGTCGACAGAGCTAAAAGGTCACATGACCACAAAGGAGCGAGGTGTTTCCCCATCAAGTTCAGTACAACAAAAACAAAAAATGCTGCTTTAACTTATCACAGCGGAGACTCCAGAGAGTAAACAAACCAAACCACTTCCTCTTTGTGGCGCGACCGGACGCGGAGGAGGAGCTCGGACCTGGGAGTCCACTCTGGTTCTGTCTCGGTCCGTTAGGGCGGATCTTTGTGCTTTCAGACGATGAGCGCGAACAAAATAAATCACATTAGAGCAGCTTTGTCTCATCTACCTCTTGCAGACACATGCAAAGACACACACGCACGCACGCACGCACGCACGCAAAGACACACGCACAGGCACACAGGCACACACACACACACACACACACAACTGGTTGTGTTCTCGTGGCTTCGGGCTTCCGACCCGCGAGGTCGTGCGTTGGATTGTTGGGCTCAGTGATGCTACGGCAGTCTTTGCAATTGCTGTGATGGATGCTGATTAAGAAAAACATCGTAAAAGACTAAAATAAAAACAATGTACGTAGAAGCGGCCTCTCTCTCTCTCTCTCTCTCTCTCTCTCTCGTCAGTAGAAGCGCTTGCGCCGGTTCTCCTTCCAACGGCCGTAAACGCTGACGCCGACCACGGCGAGGACGCCCAGGCCCATGGCGGAGAAGAGGAGGGTGACGACCAGCTGCACGCCGCTCATCCCTTCCTCCTGGACGTCCACTAAAAGGGCAAGAAGACAGTTTGCTTTTTACATTTACACACTCAGTCCAACAGAGGTTACACACTGTGACATTTGGGTTATTTTTGTAGTACCATTTAATAGATTTAAAAAGGTATCATTGTCTCTGCTGCTTTGATCTTTAATGAAAAAATATCCCACAGAAAAGGAGACAAACGCAGCTACGTTTACAAAATTTTGAGAATTATTTTCCACGCAAAGCATAACAGCCACACTAATAGAACAGCCCTTTTTGTACCATCATGAGGGAAAGTATTGTTGACAATGTGTGCCATTAGCTGGGAAGCTACTGTACATTCTTATCCAATACGTTGTCTCATTCCTTCCGGATAACCTTTGGCCCATTTATGCACACACACGAGAGGCCGGCAACACTGTTGTCGTTATCTCACCGAAAAGTAGCCGACTGTGTCGTGAGCGCTAAGAGTACAAATATTTGGGGACATGAAGTCAAATTGCCGAACTTGAGGAACTGTGAAACGGACACATTGCACTCTGTTTGAGCGTGAATACGTAACAGCACTCGTATAAGAAACTGAAATACTGAGGACAATTCAATCAAGTGTCGGCCTGTGATTGGAATCGTCGAACCATTGCTTTACCTGCAGCAAGTGCATCAGTGAAAGCTGACCCGTAAACTGAGCGACAAAATCGGCTCGTGTTTCACTTTTAACCAAAGCTGCAATTAATAAAAATGCACACTCATATTTAATATAGGTAAACGTCTGATACTGATCAACTGATGTCTAATATAGAGGTACCATTAGTAAAAGTATATGGGATGCAATATATGAGCATTTAAATGTAAATGTGCAAACAGGCTCAACAATGTTAAAATATTGAGGTTTACTGCAACATCTTTAACTTTGTTGACTTGTTGCAGGTATGATTTTAAACCTGTGAAATCTGCAAAGCAATAGACAAAATCGATTAGGTCATAACGTGTGGAGTTTTGTGAAAATTGTGCCATTCAACCCAGTGATCTATGGACTAGTAAATAGTGGATTCATAAAGAGACATTATCTGCCCCTGTGGATGGAATAGAATGCTGGATGGAACTGTAGTACACGGTGTGTTCGTGAATCTAATACATTAGAATGTTGAGGTGTTCTAGTGTATAAAGCCAGGCTCCGGTAGGAATTAACCTCAGTATCTTCAACATCTCCGCAGAGGACACCTGGACAGCTCTGAGGCTCTGAGGCCGGCCGCGGCAAAACCACCGGTCGCTGTTTGGATCTCGTTTGTTCTTTTTTCTTTTGACTGTGGTCCGGCTTCCTGGGGGGCTCCCCACCCATCTCAGTGGCCCTGGGATGGTGGATTTCTGGTGACGTGAGGGTCTATCATCCGGTGAATTAGCTGATGAGGTTCCAAGCTTTTCAGGTGTCAACATGTTACATATTTTAACTTTGTTTCTGCAGCATTTCACTGAAATGACGGAACGATTCTTATACTGTATGTAACCAAACTGGAGACATCTGAAACAAGTTGAACTCATCAAGCTATTTCAGTCGGGTGTAACCCTTTCACGTTAGCAGATTGATGCTCACTTTGTTGAGCAGTTTGGGGAGTGTCCTGCAGCAAAGGTTGAGATCTGCATTCTACCCACGTAGTAGCTCTGGCTTGTCTAAGTCGATGCTGACGGTGGGCGTTTGGACTGTGGGAAAGACTCAGTCCCGCTCTATAAGCCCTGCATGGTGACTGGTGTCGCTATGTGGCGGCAAGCCATCGCGGCCCCGGAGGAAACTTTCCTCTGGAGAACGGTTTCCTCTAGAGGACCGTTTCCTCTGGAGCTTGAGTGGCTGCTGAAAGCATCGTGCAAAGATGATCGGTCGGTCTTCAATGCTACAAGGAGACAGGAAGTCTGCGTGCCAGTCGGCCTCAGAGCTCACTTCAGGCTTCTTGTGTGTCCGATGTAGGATCCTGATACTCACACCAAACTCTTGTTGTTTAAACCAGCAGCATATCTGACCTGTAACTTTGGATCCAGAACAGACTTTTACCGCTCCCACTTCTCCTAATTTGGCTCAAGATGTTTGGTGTCACCAAAATGATTTTAGGATTAACTAGTCTATCCGTGAATATTGTACACATTGATTATTACTAAAGAGTTAAGTATAAAATAGATTGTGTTACACGAGAAAAAGGGAAAAGTAGATACAACGTAGGTACATTGAATGTCTTAAATTACATCAAAACGCTCAACTCCTGACCCTGGAACCGCCGATCTGGGCCCCTCGACGCCTGACACCGTAACTGCCGATTCCTGCTCCTTGTCTCCTGTCGGCAGAACACCTGAGCCCGCGGAACCTCCTACTAGACTCTACTGTCATCCCCGGACCGTCATCCAGACCCTCCTCTAGATCATCCTCCAGAGACTCTACTGTCGTCCCCGGACCGTCATCCAGACCCTCCTCTAGATCATCCTCCAGAGACTCTACTGTCGTCCCCGGACCGTCCTCCAGACCCTCCTCTAGATCATCCTCCAGAGACTCTACTGTCGTCCCCGGACCGTCATCCAGACCCTCCTCTAGATCATCCTCCAGAGACTCTACTGTCGTCCCCGGACCGTCATCCAGACCCTCCTCTAGATCATCCTCCAGAGACTCTACTGTCGTCTCCGGACCGTCATCCAGACCCTCCTCTAGATCATCCTCCAGAGACTCTACTGTCGTCCCCGGACCGTCCGCCAGACCCTCCTCTAGATCATCCTCCAGAGACTCTACTGTCGTCCCCGGACCGTCCTCCAGACCCTCCTCTAGATCATCCTCCGGAGACTCTACTGTCGTCCCCGGACCGTCATCCAGACCCTCCTCTAGATCATCCTCCAGAGACTCTACTGTCGTCCCCGGACCGTCCTCTCCCTCCCACCCCATAGTCTGTTTATGTTATCCCTCTGCATGGCCCGACCACCCACCTTTGTGTTGAATCATTGTCTCTTCTATATGGCTGTTGGTGAGATGTGTCGTGTTCCTAAATAAAGTATTTTTTGTTTGTTAAGTCTGCGATTGGGTCCTACTTCTGCCATCAACTGTGATAGAGAGAAGGATGCAGCTTGTGTATTAACAAGAACTAAGAAAAGGGATCATATTACTCCTGTTTTAGCATCTCTGCACTGGCATTCCTTGTTAATAATGTTATTCATGGCCACTGAGAAGGAAGTGATGACCTCGGGCATTTACCTCGGAACTGCTCCATGTTGTCAACTCGGGGTACGGTGACCTCCTCTTCTTCATCCTCCTCCTCGGGAGTCCTCTCTACTGTCAGCTGGAACAGCTTCATAGAGATGAGGTCGTGGTTATCTAGAGAGAAATGAGGAAGTGGGGGGGAGGGGATTAGAAGAAGATGGCAACTTTTTGTCATGGCAGAGAGTACAGGTGCTGCATTTAACAGTGGGAGCAGTGTGCTGCCGGAAAGGCGCCCGAGGAGCAGTTAGGGGTTAGGTGTCTTGCTCAGGGACACTTGATGTGAATGATACATGTTAACATGTTTACCGTACAGCTTCATAGTTCTCTGCCTTAATGGTACATCTCATTCCCCCGACTTAGCCATCCGAATCAGACAGAAGAGTCCGTACCCGACAGGTCTCCGGTCGCCGAGGAGGCTCCGAAGAAGAAGCCTGAAGGGAGCTTGAGTCCTGTGATGTCGGCGCAGTCGACCCATTCCTGCTTCCCGTCTACGTCCACCGCGAGCTGCAAGGCGGAGGGAGACTTGGTGTGAGTCACTGACAATGTATGTATATTACTTTTTAACAAATTAATAATTGAACAGCCATCAATGGGAAGGTTTTTCATAATTGAATACGTCATCGTTGTAAAGGATGCGTTTGGTCATCCAATTGGATAATTCCCCCCCCCCCCTTTACGACAAAACGGCCACAGGGACATACACAGTATACGCTGTGTATATAGTATTGAACTGTGTGTGCATTCAATGTTGTGGAATTCTATATGCGCCTCAAATTGTGATGTGGGAGGAAACTGTTTCCTCCCCCGCTGACATTTGAACTAGTTTATGTATTAAATTTCATCGGCATTTTGATGTGGTTCTTTCACTGGAATGGATCTGTGTAGAAGCCTCTTATCTGGCAATATTACAACCGTTTCACAACTTACCGTGAGTCGGCTTTTGGAGTATCTGAGGAGGAGAAAGGTGTCGTGGAGGGCGTTGCGTGCCGTGGCCGTGCATCCCCCGAGCTCGGTGGGCCGCCCGTGGTAGTCGTGGTCGTAAGACAGAGTCCCATTCCCCAGCATCACCGACACGTACGGGAACGTTCTCTGTGACGGGAGACGGGGGGAGGTGAGGGGGGGGCGCGGCAGCAGCAACAGTACAGACGCGCCACAAGAACACGAAGCGCATGCACGCGATGAGGCGTCACGTGGTGAGACGGGGAAGCGATGGAGGTAATGAGAGGAACGTTTCCCACTTGTGGGACAAACTGATGTTTCAGATGCTACCTGAGTTCCAGGCTGGGTCTTCTGCACATTTCGAGGGGGCGTGGGGGGGGGGGGTTGCAGAGAGAAAAACACACTTTTGATATAATTTTTGTATAAACAAGCACGGCAGGACGCTCACGACCAGCTGGTCGTGCGGAGGAAGCAACCGGCCGTCACTCACGTCGAGGTTCTTTTCGGCGTTGGGGTACGTGTCCACGAATACGCCGAGTCCGGTGAACTGGTTCATGCTGCCGAACACGGCGCCTGTGGAGACAAACACAAGGATCATTCAGGCCTTTTCACAGTTGGGGTTTTAAGGGGGGGGAGGGAGGTGCGGGTGTGTCTTAAGTTAGAATACTGCAGGAACATTTTGGTGAGAGGTGCCTTGGTGATCCGTGGTAGTCGCCAAAGGGGGTTGTGGGGAAACCCAACCCCAAGACTCACCCATTGGGGCCGGGGAGGACCGGGGCGCCTCCTTAGGGGGTTTCAATTCGGTCCCGTCGAAGTTAAGACCTTGTGCACGGTTCTACGGTTTTTGGAGCATTTCTTCATTTTTGGGGTTTTCGAATAAATATAATGAATTAAATGGTATTAAAAAGCTGCTATTTAGATTAGCAAAACATGATTTTCCAGGTCAAAAATTGCCAGAAGAATGTTCGGACAAAGACTGATATTTCTTAATAAGAAAACAGTTATTAATCTGTAAAGCATTTGTCTCCAGGCTTTTTGGGCGTTGTTTACAGAAATTATACAAAGTTATGTAAAATAACAGCTTTGTCGTACAGCATGTGCAGAGATGCAAGAGATGGCAATCCGCCGAAGCTCATTCCACCTCTCGGGGCGCCGCGGTTTCTACCTACCGTCCTGCATGCGGTCTCTGGTTAACCAGATAGCCATGCCGTCCCCGTTCAGGTTCTTCTTTCCCTGGCCGTGGATTTTAAAGTGCACCTTTAGCTCCCAGTCCCGCACGGTGAGAGGCTGTATGGCAGAGGAACAAACAAAATGAAGACAAGCAGGTTACTCTAGTGCTTTGCGTTATATGGAGGACAGAATTGAGAGACAGACATAACTTGAAATGTAAATGCTTAAATTTAAATTTCAGAGCAACTGTGTGAGATCGTGGCAGGAGGTGAAAGGTTAAAGTCCGGCTGGGCAATATATCAATACTAAAATAGATACCGTCATACAAAACTATATATAGTCTTTTGATATTGTACCAGCGTAGTACCGCATAAGTGACATCAAAATATATTGGACTTACAACTCGACTCCACACTGCCCCCTGCCGGCTCTGCAGGTCTGGGGTCAGCCTCACGTGGTCAGGCGTAACCATGGCAGTGCCCATCAGATCCCACTGGGAGGAACTGGAGAAACCCAACCCTGAGAAACAGCAAAGCGCCCGTGAGACAGCAGCACCCACGGGATCCACGCGGCTCTGAGGAGATCCCACGAGCTTCTGTCAACGGACGACGAAACGCTAAACTTCAGAATGTTAGTTTACTTACTGGCAAAATACACATCAACTACATTCAAACTGTGGACTTTTGATCAAACGTTGGGTAATTATGGTGCATTCGGCATCATTAACGTCATATCATTAATACACCGCATTAAAAAAAAAAAAGTCAACTCCCAATTATTGTCGATTCACAGCGTTTAAAGCACAAACCGTCGCTGCGAGCTAATAGCTGTTCTCGTTTCACCAATTAGACATTAGCGAGGGATTTTTCTTACCATTTAATCTGCTGCTGAGCTGTAACAGCATTAATTAACGATCAAAGTCGCTCGCTAAATCGAGTGAAATGCCCCTTTAGGAGAACTGCTAGTCAGTTAGCCGATATTAACTTACGTCGGCTAACTCAGTTTAGCGCAGTCCCACTTGTTGGCTAACGGTGGCGTTGACATCGGGGCTAACCTGACCCGAGATAAGGGTAGTTGACAGCGAACTCACCACGATACGGTTTAACCAGAGAATATTCCCGTTTCAGAAAGTCTTCAATAAACTCCTGTTCGTCCGCCAACGAATGGCTCGTCAAAACACAAAGCGTAACAAACAAACATGTTAATTCACGGATGTTTTTAAAGGGAAACATTGGACGTAAAAACGAGAAACCACCGAAACCGTTCAGATTTGCCTCGATTACAGCGGCAACCATCTTTACGGTCCCACTTCAAGCAGTCACGTGGTGTCAGGGAAGCGAGCAGGAAACAAACGTACTTCCGGTTGTTGCTTTCCAAATTAAAACCAATCCCACCAAGCGCGTTTCCCTGCGTTTAAATAAAACAACACATTTCATTATAAGAGGAGTACTGACAAAATCATCAAATAGGTTGCTAAAGAGTAGTGTATACTTAAGTATTTAGTCGTTAAATATCAGCAAAGATTAAAGAATCAAGGCCAAAGTATTTGTTTTGCTATACCTCCTTCAGGATGTTCCAAACTGATGCCAAAATACAGAGACAGAAATGAGTATGCATATCTAAAGCAGTGCATTATGTTTCATAGGCTATATGTAAAAAATAATAATAATTAAATAAGTTTCAGTAAAAACGTGTGCACATATTTAGTATTGCCATAATAAATTCAGAGAATTTAAGTTATGGTGATGATCACCCAGGTCTAACAACATGTCTATGAACCAGTGCTGAGGTAGTCAGCTCTGTTTACATTACTCACCAGCTGCTCAAACCGCAGATATGGACCACAACATGACTTTAAACTGTGTTCAGTAATGTCTGTGGGTAATGTCACAAGCTTTGTGAATACATCTTATTTAAATGTAATAATTAATTTAAGTACCGGCCCTCTTGCGCACATTAGGAACCTATTTTGTATTTCAACAGCAGGATGTTATCAACAATGAATCCATGTAGGGTAATTATGCAATCTCATCATAAAGGTTTGTGAGGTTGGACGGTGGGGTCTGAGAAGCTCCTATCTGCCTGGTCAAACAAATCAAACTCCAACGGAGCTCCAATGGAGCATAAGGTCAAAGGTGGGGACATTCCAACCAAATATTACCACTTTTTGCCTGTTTAGAAAAGCTTATGACTTATCACTATTAAGTTCTCATATTAAAAAACAAGTAAATGTAGGTGTCAGAGACTCAGAGACACACAATGGAAAGAAGATCCACTCTTCCCTGGTTAATGAAGGGCACATTTATTGAGTTCCATAACCCAACGACAGAATAAAGTCCGTCATCATGCTCTCTCTCCTTTCGCTATGTGATGTTGGATCACATGGTTATTTCTAATTTAGAGTGCTGAACCGCGCAGGGGATAGCGAGAGGCCATCATGACTAATAATTCCATGGCTAGTGCTTCCCAAACTCTGCATTGCTTTATTGTTCGGCTCATTACAGAAGACGTCTGATGACGGATCGACGGCGGATCGAATCTGACTCTGGCCTTTGCCGAGTCAGCCCGCTCGCTCACCTTGGTTGCGCCTCATAACAGAGGGACGCTCTGGTTCGAATAATGGACGGACCCAAGTACTGACCTGTCATGGCGGACGCCAGGCTAGTGTCAGGGTCCTGGGAGGAATTACACTAATGCAGTCAACTACGGGGGTGATGCTATTGCTCCTTGGAGAGTGGAAATAAGAGTGCAAACGTGAAGGGTGTTTATGATCCACCAGGGACTTGGGGGGGCTCTTAGTATTTCCTGTATACGTCCCCTGGGTACATATTGTTCGCTTCCATTGAGAAGGCCGCAGAGTTCCAGCTGAAAGCTTGAAACCCGAAACATCAGCGTCTAGCACCTCTCCTGACACCCACGCGTCACCATGTGTGTATCCCGTAATCCGTGGGGCGCGGGGGGGGGCGTCTGCCGGTGCCATAAACTCTGCCCCCGGCTCATTGAGCGGAGAGGATCACGCCGCGTGCGGCCGCTCTCCCACTGAGGCAGACTTTCACCGTAATCCCCCCTCTTTGCAAACTCAAGAGATATTTTAATGTCTGTTGGTCACACGGTCAGATCCGGCGCTCGTCTTTATTAAAGCTGTCCACACCTGTTCAAGTGTTAACAATCGGGGCTGGAAATGCTTCCCCAGGGAAGCGGAGTCATCACTTTTACAGGCGCACATGCTGTGCGTCTCCTTCAGGGCAGCCCATGCGTGGTTGCACCGGTCTGGAAATGATGGGGGGATGCGAATCAGAAGAGTCCGCAAGCTTTTTTCAGGTTTAATGGTGACAACGTCAAGACGTCTGGTCGCCGCACGTTTGCCTGTCAGAGTCGATGTTGCAAGAGTTGGAGCTCTGCAGAATTCAGACGGGATCACCACCGCTTCAGAGAAGCAGGTGTTCCAGTTTAACGAGCGGCTGCGTTAACCGGTGACTTTCAGCCAGATGTGTTTCTGGTTGCTCATAGTAACTTCCAGAAGTGGACGGAATGGACAGTAAACATGGATGAGTATTGAAAGTATTGGAGGCTTTTGGCTGCCGTCGCTGGGGGAACCACGGACACATTGGGTCCAATGGCACCAGTTGAGTGTCTGGCGGCGTCCGTGTCTGCGAGCTATTAAACATGTTCACGACCACAGGACCCATCAAACATGATTGTTTTTGTAGTTTCAATCTCAGAACTGGATTACGGGATTCTGTATCTGGTGATATCATTTCAATAATAAGCTGTATGAGTTAGATCTGAATTCTAACGATTGCATCTTTTGCTTTTTTCACATTTTCTATATACATATAACCGTGATATAGTTGGTTTTTCCCACAACACTCATTTAGTGAAAACCTGATGTCGTGACATCCCTGCTTACTTTATAATTCACTGTTTCGTGCCCACGAAAATGAATTTACTGTCCTTTATATGCTGTATGTATAATGCTTTTCATAACAATAGGGTTTATCTCAGGGAGTCATTCCGTAAGTTCCATTTATCATCACTAGTTGTGAGGATGGACGCGCAGAGCTGCTTCTAAACAAAGTCTCCCTTCAAACCGCCGGGATCTCACGGCACTTTCTTTAATGGATGCTCCCCGTGTTGGTTGAGTTTGCACAGTACACAACTAACCCAGCGTGACCGATGAAGTGAATGATGAAATAATGAGGAGACCTTAATGCTTCTTCTGGCAGGACGTGCCTCTGGTTATGTACGAGCACTTACGGCGGACAACTGTCCTCTTTGTCTGCTCGAAGAGCGCAGACACTAAGAACCGGCCAACACCTCTGGACATAAATATTCGCGCCATTCAAACCGACGGACCCGAGCGGGGGTGAAATATGGTCGTTACAGACGCACTTTGATGAGCTTTTCATCCTCTTTGTGCTGACGGAAAGGAAAACACATCCTCTTAATTGGAACGCTCACTTCCTAACTATTTTCTCTTCAGGATGTGTTCGCCGGTAAACATCAATATTTCATATGCAGAATAACCTTTTGCATATATCTATACAAGAAGAATGGCCGGGCTACCATTTACCACACCGCTGGACGGATTAAGATGGAGAGCAGGAAGTTGCCTGCGTTTTGAGCAAATGTGTATGCTTCAACACTTCCTCTTTAAAAGATTGACTTCTTCACGAAGGGAAAAGCTACTCTGGAAAATTAGTGACAGTCTGCCAGCTTCTGTAAATTATCCTGAAAAGTGCACTGGACTCACTTTAGGGATTTGAATTTAAGAGCTTGAATTGTCCTCGGAGCTAAAGTGCTGAGTGGTGTCAGTCACTTACAGGGGCAACGTGTGTGAACTGGAAATCCTTTTAGTTTAAAACGTTCAAAAAATGTAGTATGATGCCCAATGTGCCTTCCATCCTATGTTCCCCAAGCTCTGTTCCCTCAACTCTCTATTCCATCCGCCCCATGTTCCCTCAATCCTGTTCCCCCTCAGCTCTATGTTCACTCGACGCTACTGTATGTTCTCTCAGCTCTAACCTACACCAGGATCCTGTTTGTGGACTTCGGCTCTGCTTTCAACACCATCATCCTGCTGCAGGACAAACTGTCCCAGCTGCAGGTGCCCGACTCCACCTGCAAGTGGATCACAGACTTTCTGTCTGACAGGAAGCAGCACGTGAAGCTGGGGAAACATGTCTCAGCCTCTCGGACCATCAGCACCGGTTCCCCCCAAGGCTGCGTTCTTTCTCCTCTGCTCTTCTCCCTGTACACCAACAGCTGCTCCTCCAGTCTGGGGATGACACCACCCTCATTGGACTGACCTCTGGTGGGGACTAGTCCGCCTGATTCTGACCCTCTGGTGTCGTGGTGCAGCCAGAACAACCTGGAGCTCAACGCTCTAAAGGCAGTGGAGATTGTTGTGGATTTCAGGAAGAACAGGAGTCCCACCACCGTCACCCTGTGTGACTCGCCCGTCACTATTGTGGATTCCCTCCGTTTCCTGGGCTCCATCATCACCCAGGACCTCAAGTGGGAGCTGAACATCGGCCGACCCCTCTCACCCCGGTCAAAACCTGTTTGTGCCCCTTCCATCTGGCAGGAGGCTGAGGTCCATCAGGACTAAGACCTCACGCCACACCAACAGTTTCTTCCCGTTCTCTCAGCTTCATGTTCAGCACATTCATATTTAAAATGACATCATTAGAACTTACTCTTACTCATTCCTTTTTCTTCTGCTAGGACACCTTCCTGATATTCTTTCTCTGACCCAAACACATCTCACCCCTCAAACCTAAACTTAACAAGTCTGTCTGTTGTCAGGGTGATATCTCATAAAATAATAAAGCGGTTTGACGTTTGAAACCATTTTTTTTAATCCTTTATTGAACTTATCCCTGACGTTGATCTTTTTTCCCCCCTCTGCCGTCACTAGCTGACTTCCATCTCCTTATCTGAGGATAAAAGGAGAGCAAGAGAGAGAGGGAGAGAGAGAGGCGTTGGAGTGTTGTTCTTTACTTTCCGTAGAGCTCATCAGTGGAGAAGCTGTTTTACAGTTACAGCTCTCTTTAACGCATTGAATCCATCTTTCACCTCTCAATAAGCTAATAGGTCTAATGTGTCCAAATTGATTTCTTGGGGCCTTGTGCCTCCTCCTCCCACAGCTCCTCCTCATCCCCTTTCTCTATTCACTTTCCCTTGTCGCTGATTTATAGCTAATGTTGTTGCTGCACACACTAAATTGTACTTTGTTTTGTGTGAATGTGAAAAAGTGGAAAAACGAAATCCACTCAAGAACTTCAAAAGAGATTGAGCTTCAAATAGTAAAAAGTTATCTCAGAATTGTTTTCGAGGTGTGAAGCT